GCAAGGGCATCTCACTTGTTTGCATAACAGTTCCAGTGACAGGCCAGTAAGGGCTGGTGTAAGTACATATAAGGACACCCGTGTCATTGACATCAGCACATCTTCCTGGGACCTTTGCTGATAATGTCTGGGGGAATAGGTGCTATCCACAGCACATAATTTTTCCAGACGAGGCAAATTTTTCTAGCAGGCTTGTGAATGCTTTCACCTGTTACTATACAATACTAGCACAGCATGGGAGATCTGTGTCATGCACTTCTCAGAAGGGAGAAGAGCAGAACAGACAAACTGATGTTTGATATCAAAAGCATTAAAAAAGGTTTATTAAAAAACTTTATATACTGAGTTAGGTTTTCAGGATTCCTGTACCACCACTGACAGACCCTGGCTTTGAAGTCTGGGGTAGGATTAAAAGAGCAGTACAAAAACATCTGTAGAAGTCCTCACAGGCCACAAACAAGCTTTTTTGTTGTCTTCCCAAATGCTGTCTCAGTTTCAGCTCTTTTCAGGAAAACACACTCTCTTAAATCTGCAAGCCCCAAGAGCTTACCCAGTACTCATTAGCATATTCCTGCACCTCATCTTGTAGAGTAAGCTGAGGCAATCCTTTCTCTCAGACCTACTAATTTTTTTATCAGGTTATTCTTTTCTCCTGGCTTTTCCTGCTCAATAGGAACAGCTCCTTGAAATATAGTTACCCCCATCACTGCAGAGGTACACACTTTCTTCTCAGCACCAAATGGTGCTGCATAAGCCCAGCAACAGTAGCTCCAACACTCCCATGATCCAAAACGTATCCAGAAGCTGTATTTTCTTCCAGAACTCATTTTATATAGCAGTAACACAGACTATTGCTACTTGGCTATCCTCTTGTGTTGGTTCTTCATTAAGTCTCTTCTCTAAGACTCCCAATACAAACTTCTTTCTCACAGTTTAAATCATCTAACCAGCTTGTCACAGCCAGTAAAAGGAGACTCAGCCACCAGGAGAGCAAGATATGCACTTTAATTCTCTCAAGCAAAATCATGTTCTAGTCAGCTGTTGACTTTGCAACTGAGAAAACCACAAAAAATACTCTAACAAAGGAAAAGCCAACCATACAAACACATTGGTCTTTGAACAAGAAAACTCAAAACAGACAACAAAGAATATCAGGATTTAAATTAAAACCCTTTAGACAGATTTCTTTTGGCAAGGAGCCACTGGTGGAAAGGTTTCTTTATACTATATCAAGACTCACACATTAATTTACAAACCGTTGTTGTCCAAAAAGCTCTCATCTCTCAAGTACGTTTCAATAAGTGATCACAAAAACAGTAATAGTCATTTAAAATTAGTACGAAGTCTCACTTGAATAAGCCTTAGCACTCACACTGTCAGTAAAAGTACCTATGAGAAAAAAACAATCCACCAAAAAACTCCTTCACGCTCTAGCTGTTGTGGGGTGTCTCAGTCCACACAGCTTATTACTACAACCTTTTTTTAATGTCCATTTTACAGGAACGTATACTTGTTACCTTACTTTCTACACAAGCCTGTAACTATACTCTACTTTACTATTTCAAGAAAAAAAAAAAGTAAAGTTCTGCATACGTAGTGATAGTGATTTTAATCTTCACTAACTTTATGTTGATGTGACAACATTTAAGAACTGAGCACAACAGAAACTACCTGTATTATATTATTAACTTTACAATAGAAGGTAAAGACAGATCAAAACTTAGAAGGCTCCACTCCCAATAACACTAAAAGTCTTAAATACTTCTGCAACGTCAGGATTCTTTTTTTACTTAAAACCCTAACAGAACTTTCCCAAGAACAAAAAGCATCCCCCAAAATAAAACATTATCAGATATTCTACTAAAACACAGAACCATCATAAATAAACAAGAAGTTTTCCTTACATTCAAGAATACAAGCACTTTCCAAGAAAAAAAAACAACACAAAAGCTTCAGAATGCTGAGTTTTATTCTGTTTCTTTGAAAAACCTGCCAATGAAACACCATGCTTTAATTTCTCAGCTGTGAGATTGGAAAATTGGCAAATAGCTCTTACTTATGAATCACAGGTGTGAAGCATATGAGATTAGACAGGGAGGGCCAGAACACAGGTGTGGAGCATATGAGATTAAACAGAGACAGTCAGAACACAAGTTAAAAAGCAGGAGAGAAGAGCAGTTGTTTTTTTAGGGAGAGAAATTTTAGTAAAAAAAGTTAATGATTTGTGGGTTTAGAAGAGTGTTAATATTTTTAATGTATATTTTAATATTTATGTAATAAGTAGCTAAAGAAAATGCTGGAAGAAAGCTGAGTAACATAACTAATAAGAAGTATATGTGTGAAAATAGTAGCTGGGAGAAAGAAAAAAAGCTGTTTACTGTTTTTACCGCAAGGTAAGTAAAAATATTTTGGCTTTTTAATGCTTTAGTATATATTTATTTTTTTAAAAAAGGCCTTTAATTAGTAGGTTAGTTGTTTGTTTGTTTTTATTTTTAATAAAAAAGACTTTATAGTACTGACTTGCTTGAACTAATAAACACTCAAAGCCTAAAGGTACAATATGTACCTTATGATAATATTATATACAAGATTTAATTAGTTCTTCCATGAACAGAATG